AAGCCCTTCGTTTCGGTTCTTGTTGGGTGGTGTATTCTGTGGTCAGAATGTACAAGAATTACAGTTGCTGAATTTTTGCTTGGACATGGAATCACACACCAGAAAAATGACGCTTTTTTATTGGTAGTTCACAACACAATTTAAAATGTGTCCTTTTACATATCGGTAATAAGTTTGGGTCCATCCTCATTGGTCATTCTATCGGTAAAAAGGGAAATATAAAAAAATACCATTATTTTGTATTAATTTAAAAATTGTAAACTTTCTCCCTTAATGATAAGTTATATATACAAAAATCCACCTTTTTTGTCTTTGCAACAGCAGCGCAAAAGATCAGCATTGGTTTAAAAAATATTGGCATTTGAGAAAATTCGTGATTCAAGATAAAATCGCAATTGACAAACTTTTAGTTAAAGATTGTTTAGCAGTAAATGGTTGACTTCAACTAGTACCGACTATAAACATCCTGGGTTAACCGATAATAGTATAAAAGGCCCGGTTTCAGGTAAAATTTAATGCGATTTGACGAAAATACCTCTGACCACAGTAAAAAGAATTACATCAAATACCATAGAAACAAGAAAAAAAGGTAAGGATTCCAGTTCCACCAAATGTATGGACGAAGCCGATAAGGAGTTGATACGTCGAAAAGTCTATATCATGTACGAAGAGCAACGCATTAAGAGCTCCGAAGCAACGGCACAAGGTTGACGAAACCCAAATAAATTGTAGCCTCACCAGCTTATGGAAAATTTTGAAAAGTATGGGCTTTCGATATCATATAATTGACAAAAGACAAGTAATTATGGAATCTCATAGATTAATAGCGACATAAAGGATTTGCCGTCAAATAAAAGGAAGAGAATAACGATTTTACATGCTGGATCCGAAAATGGTTGGATCCAAATTCCCTGTGGCTTTCTGCAAAGAATATTAAAGACTCCTGCGTCGACTACCATGAAGATATAATGGCAGAATTTTTTGAATTGTTGAAGAATGGTTTAAAAATAATCTTATGCCAAACATTCCTCAAAATAGATGTAAGGGACAATGCAAGCTATTACAGTCGCCAACTAAGTAAGGCTCCAAACTCGAATAATAGTAAACTGGAAATTCAAAAGTTTTAAAGACATTTTCTATAAAAAAAAGTATATGTTTGTGATACATTGGCAGAGGAAATGGTACATACCGTGCTGCGGTTTCCACTCTATTATTGTATTTTAATCCCATAGAGCATATGTGGCACAAATTGAAGTCTAACGTAAGGTCACAAAATATTTCTAAAACCGTTAAGTAGTACTCATGATACAAATAAACAGATAAGATACCACGCATGTAGGCGTGGCTTATGTGACGTCAGTTTGTGCTAAATTTTTCCATATTGTGTTTTGATATTTATGTACATTTACGGTTCACAGTAAAATAATATTTTGAGAGCGTTAAAGGCTTTAAATTTTTCGCAGTATGAGGTGTGCAGTGTATTTGCAAGAGTTTTGTACCCGATACAGCATTCTGTAGCTTTCCAAAAGACAACATTTGGAGACATTTGTGTTAACGCCAGGATAGTTTTAATGTTAAGTTTACTCGTGTTTACTGTTAGCACTTTATTGAAAGTGATATAAACGTAATTTAAAACATAAATTGCTGGGGTGTTTAATAATCATGTCTAATGATATCATTACTAAATATTTGTTTTTGTAGAGCGGAACTTTGTAACAATAGTGGAAATAGTTTTGATGATGGTGCGAATGCTGGTGCTTCTTGTTTTATTCCCGAGAATGCTGTTTTGAAAGAATTACCTACTCGTCGAAGTATTGGGTTAGTTTGTAGATAAAAATACCTAACTAGCACAGATTATATACTATCTTAACTGGTCTGTGTTTTTTAATATCTAGAATATATGGTCCTGTATACTTTAATTTTAAGATGTGGAACAATGGGGTTATTGAAACAAGCAAACTGGCTTGAATGTGCAGAATTTTTTAAATTAGTATGCATATTTTGTTTTTTTTTTGTTATTTGTAAATTAAAAACTTTTATGTAAATATGGCGATGGTATAAATAATAAATTTTAGGTAAATGATTGGTTTGATTTTATGAATGTCAGAGAGTGACTCCAGGAAGCGAACAAAAGCTTATATATGAGCTTAAAATATCTAAGATAATATCATTACCAAAATGACGGACACAGTGAAAAACCTCCGGGTTAAAGAAAAAAATGCTTGTTTCCATTTAAAAAAGGTGAAAAAAAAAAGTACATTAAGACTATTTAATAATTCTCATGACACCTATTCGTTAAAACTTCTATTTAAAGATATGAAAACTACATTTTCTACCAAATATATATTGACATCTAGGTTAAATCAGGATGTATCGGAAAACTTCTTTGGAGCTATAAAAGCCAAACGAGGGCTTCATGATCATTCAGATGCTATCTGAATGATCATGAATCCTATATTCTTGGAAGAAATGAAGGCTCTCTTCCAGCTTTGGAAATGTCGAAGATGAAACCCCTTATATACCTTTGGATAGTGCAAATTTATGTGGAAAATATTTTTCTTCAATTCAAAATAACACTATTAATGATTCGGAGGCACCTACTAATATGTTTTATAGTGAGCTCAGTTTAGAACTCACTTTCTAAACCGAATATGACGGTTTAGAAAATTTTGAAGGTTATAATATGTCACAAGCTGAAGGATATAGATTCATCTGTAACTTTATCTAGAGTTCACCTGGATTTCTCATTTAAGTGAAGATGGTCTTTCATAACCTACACCTCAAATGATGGAATATCTTGAAAAACTGGAGAAAATTTTCAATTCTGTAAATAAAGATAATTTATTTGTTTCTAAACAATATTTAAAAAAAAATTATTAGATGAGAGATCTTCAGTGTTGTGCTTTAATCAGACACAAACTTTATTTTGCAGATCCAGGATGTTTTTTTGAATTAGACAATTAAATAAAGATTTACATAATTTTCTTTGAGATAAATATATTTAAGAAATAAATTGATTCTTTAATTTTACCCAGAACCTACCATTCCACAGTTTGCAATTTGTGACATTCGGCAATGGCTCCCTCCATCAAACTTCACTCTCATGGGAAAAGTGATATTTTCTACAATATATTAGTTTAAATACTTTGACTTAAATTTACGTAGTAAATAAAACATCTAGTAAATTATATTAGAATTTCAACAGTTCGTTTCATTCGCAAGCATGAATACATTTTGAAAATTTAGCACAAGGTGACGTCATGCGCGTGAGTGTACGAGTTTAGTGCGTGGCAATATCATATCTTGTATCCATATATCATGAGTAGTACTGTTGTAGAGTTAACAAGAAAATGTGTCAATGATATTCCTTCAAGTAGTTGAAGAAATTCAGTCCGACACGTAATAAGTAAAGAAAATTCATATGTTCATGTAGATCATAATATAACTGAACCGATCATAAACAATTTAGATGAGGATAGCGATAGCGAAAGAGAACTATGTGTGAAGTGATACTGTCATCAAATCTACAAATGTTACGATTAATGAAACTGTTCTTTTTACCACAAAATATTATTAATGTTTGTTTTTCTATAATCTTAGCAATTAAAACAGATTTAATTTGTTTTAAAACTCATTTGAAAACATTAATTTCAGGTATATCATCATCATCATTTAACCCGGATCTATCCACTGCTGGATATAGGTCTCCCTCAGTATTTTCCATGTATTTCTGTTTTGTGCTGTTTGCATCCAATTTTTGTCGATCCGTTTTATGTCATCAGACCATCTTGTTGGTGGTATATAAGGCAAAGCAATATATTTTACATCCGTTTTTTGTTTTTGTCATCGTAATTATTGTAAATTTTGTGGATTATTTGCTTTATTATAGGAGTACCGTCTAGTCACGTTTGCTTATCGCTCAAGATCGGTCTTAACAATGGGCCAAGTCAAATAAATTTATTAATATTTAAGACCGCACTAATTGAAGTCAACCATTTTCTGCTTCACAACAAACTTCACTGGAAAATAAATTCTATTGCCACCATTGCATATTAAGTTTAGAGCTTAGATGCTTATCAAGGCTTTATCTCAAGATGGACAATATTTTGAATACTTGTCACTTTAAGTACATAGAAGACAAAAATAAAAAAATACTCTTTTCTATTATTTAAAGGGCCAATAATAGGTTGCCTCTACAGCTATCTTAAAAAATAGAGGTGCTACAAAAACAGACGAGTTTAAATACTTATATATGATTCTAAATAAAAAATTCTGTGAACTCGTAAAACTAAATCGCGAAGGAGAATTAATCTTTTTTGAAAATCATGAATGTGTTGCTTGTGTGAATCCATTTCAAATAGGTAAAGAAATAATAAATAAGACTTACTCACAATAAATTTAATTTAACTATCTGACGACCGGTTTCGCTTTCTACAATATGCAAAGCATCCTCAGGTCTCGATACAAAGTTAAACAAATGCTGAAATAATAAAAACCCATATTAGGGTGTTGTCCAATAACGATAAACAAAGTAGATATAAATTACAATAATTATGCCAATATTACATGTCTGTGGTTTTATATTATATATATATATATATATATATATATATATATATTATGTTATTATATTTATATGTGGTTTTAATATTGGCATAATTATTGTAATTTACAACATCTACTTTGTTTATCGTTATTGGACAACACCCTAATATGGGTTTTTATTATTTCAGCATTTGTTTAACTTTGTATCGAGACCTGAGGATGCTTTGCATATTGTAGAAAGCGAAACCGGTCGTCAGATAGTTAAATTAAATTGATTGTGAGTAAGTCTTATTTATTATTTCTTTACCTATTTAATCTTTTTTGATTAGGCAAAACAAAAAAGGGGCACAGATTCTATACCATCCATTAAGAATTACGAGTGTACTATTGGCGATTCAACACGCATAAGAGATATAGAATAGAAAAAATTGGTTGCATATTTTGAGTTTACTTACCAGAATTATGTAATACTTCGATGATCCCTACATATTACTTCTAATCGTTTCAGGTATTATTGTTATTATTATCACTAGCAGTTTCGATATCTTGGTCTATACTTTCGTCAGGTATTTTGTTTTTGGAATCAAACTCTTCTTCTTTGTTAGAGATGTCAGATGTGGTAGAAGAAGCAGAAGAAAAGTTGTCTTTATCAGAAAGATAATCTTTCTTGTCCCTTTCGAGCGCGGTAGCCTTTTCGTGGTAAGTGTTGTTATGGTCGAGACATTTTGAAAATGGTATGGGAAAGTTTGGTAACTGTTTTGGAGATTGCGTGGGCTGCATTAGCCTTCCGTCAGTAACTTTGCCCATAAAATTTCTAATTTCTTCGAAATACGAATCCTCGTTAAGATTTCTAGGAGCAATATGGTTCTTTCGTAATGATCTTTCGTCTAAGATCGAAGGTCCATCTGCTTCGTGCTTTTTAAGATGTCTATCTAAGTTAGTTTGTTGTCCGAAACATCTTTCACACAAGGAACATTTAAAAGGTTTTTCTTTATTGTGTATATTTCTTACGTGTCGTTGAAGATTACTAGAAATACTAAATGATCGTTCACAATATCTACATTTGTAGGGTTGTTCGCCGGTGTGCGTCCTAAGGTGCCTTGTTAGATTAGCGGAGCGAGGAAATACTTTTCCGCAGAACTTACAAGCGTACCGGTCTTTCATTTTGGCTCCTGGCGGTTCGAACATCTTCGGTGTTTGTGGTGTGGATTGGTTTCTTATCATATCGAATGGAACTAAATTAATAGGAGGGCTTAACACGACAGGATTAACAAAAGGATAACGTTGCTTACAATTTGTAGGAGAAGTAGGATAAGGTAACGATAGTCTAGGAAGATTTTCGGCTTTTTGAGCTCTGTACATAACTTCTAACATCATAGGATGAATACTTTGAGGAGGAAACACGATAGGGTAATTAGGCAGTTGTTGGTTAAAAGTCTTTGGTAAGTTCTTATTATCTGTCACACTATGCCTTCCTTCATCATCTTTTTCACTATTAACACTAAAAGACGGTGACACTAGATTCCTGTTCTCATCTTCGACCTGCCGTCGAGCCATAACTATCGACATTTTTTTACGATCAACCCTCAGGTCCAAAGGTTGATCTTCACCTTCTTGAGATTGAGCTGGATTGCAAGCTGGAGACATATGTGGTCCTGGTGATTTTGTATTTCTTGATAAATCAAAGGGCATTTCATCACCAGGCGGTACCCTGATGGACAGAGGATATATTGCGGCTTGTTTAGGCGAACTGTGACCTCCTGTGGCCACCAACATTTTTCTTGGGAATGAGTCTTTTTCACGCATGGTCGACGCTATCAGACTTGGTGAACAGCGATTTCTGGGTAAACTAGCAATGGCAACATTCATGACAAGATTGAAGAATCTGTAAAAAATAATCATTGTAAATTTTTGTTTATTTAAAGATATTAACTACATATTTATTAAAAAATATTAAATCCAGCTTAGGGTCTTTTTTTATTGATACAAAAGTGTCAGGATGTGAACCAGGGAGCCTATGTTTTCTTTTTAGACTGTATTAATGCTTATGATAACGTTAACTGAACATAAATGCAAAAAAAAAACAATTTGTTTTAGTGACGAAAGTACTTTTTCTCTCAATGGAAATGCTAACACACAAAATGTGAGGTATTGGAGTGACACAAATCCTCACGTCTTTCATGAAACACATACTCAATTAAAAAAAAATGTTTGGGCAGGTATTTTGGGAAACCACATAGTTGGACCTGTTTTTCTCAATACTAACTTAACCGGTGAAGTGTATCTGTAGATGTTACAAAATGCAACTGAACTGTTAATACATACTTGAAATTCTGGATGATAATCCAGAAAAATTAGGCAACTTGGAAATAACGTTTCAATAAGATGGTGCTCCTGTACACCATTATGGTGCAGTAAGACGTTACCTAGATGAGGAATATCGTAGTAGATGGATTGGATGACGAAGTACGATAGAATGACCAGCTTGTTCACCGGACCTCACACCGTTAGAATTTTTTCTATGGGGATATTTGAAATCTAAAGTTTACGCTACAGCACCCGACAATATTGCCATTTGAAACAACGAATGGTTGAAGAATCTAGGGCAATTTCTCCCGACACATTTAAACGAGTACGGCAAGAGTTTAAAAATAGGATTCATTACTATCAGGAAGTAGATGGAGCACAGTTTGAACACTTACTTTTAATTAAATGAGAAGGAACAATTTTAATATTTATTGAATTTATTCATCAAAATGAGCTTAAACTCAAAGAAAATTATTATAACTGAATAGGTATTTTCAATATCTTTCAAACGAGGTATTACTGGCCATAAGGTCTCATTTAAAATTATCTGCCACAGTAGCGCTGTAACGCCAACTGTCACTATTACGTCACCTGTTCTTACTAGAAGCATACGTCTGTTTATTACCACCCGCCAAATTTCACTATTATAACGATAACCGTTCAAAAGATACGAAGGGGGGAACGGACTTTTGACTAGTACTGTACTTTTTAATTATTTTTTAAGAGCGTAGGCGCAAAATTTCGGGCCAATGCTTTTTAAATGAATTCATTTTTTTCGAATCCTGAGAAAACTAATAAATATTTTTGAAAAATTTAAACGCAGTATGAAAGAATACATTATTACCGAGGGCCCTAAGTCCCTGAAAACTTCTATAATGTTTATTTTAATAAGTTACGGGGGTGAAAGAAAAAGAGAAAATTTAGTAGTGTGATTTTTAATTTCAAATATCTTATTCAAAAAAACTTTTTGGTTATTCTAAGGGACTTTCGGTCCTCGGTAATAATGTAGTCTTTCATTCTGCGTTTAAATTTTTCAAAAATATTTGTTAGTTTTCTCAGAATTCGAAAAAAATGAGTGCATTTAAAAAGCATTGGCCCGATATTTTGCGCCTACGCTCGTATTATTTAAATTTTGCATTTAATTTTAGAGTTAATGCTTAATTGCATACTTAGTTGCATACTTAATAGGAAAACTATTTTATGTATGAGGCCCCTAGAAGTCAAGGAGTCTAAGAAACAAAATCAACATTTTGAGAAAACTCAAGTCAAAGTCGGAAGATTATTGTAAGAGGGAAATTTAAAATTGCATTATTTTGACGATGTAAGAAGGATAATAAGGTCTTTGGGTTGTTATTGCCAATAGCAGAAAGTATTACAATATTCGGTTATTGTTTTATGTATAAAAAAAATTGAAGGTGTGCACATGGATCCCTTTACCTCTCATTAATTTTGTGAGAATGAAAATGCTCAATATGCACAAAATACATAAGTGGTTTTATTATTATTTAAAAAATTATTTTGTATGTTATTTTTACATGATAGTATTAAATCAGAAAATATTAGATGTTGGCACTTGAAAACTATTTAATTGCTGTCATTTGTGTCATAAACGTCGTTACCAAAGTGATTATAATCATTTTCATTGCCTACAAAAGTACCTGTAGCTAAAGGCTTTCCAGTCGTTGTTTCATGAGGTAGGCTTGGGTAAAATTTATGGTATATCAGTGAAAAGAATTGCAAGAGTTTCATGAGATCTTCATACTTTTTGTATTTAAGCTTGGGCTTCTTATTACCGGTTGAAACATGAGAAGCTGATAGGGAATTATACCTGCTCGTTGTTTCTTCATTGATAATTTTTCGTAAGGCATAATACCCTCTACTAATGTTGTCTTATAAAAAAGAGTGTCTGGGTTTGCCTTTTCATAATGCAGTATCTGCATTCCTCGTATCCCTGGCACATTTTCCGGAAGTATTGTTCTTCTTTTGGCATCATAACCCTGGATGGATCTTTGCCTGTCTGGCTATGTCCTTCCATTCAGATCTCACTTGTGCCCTTCTTCTCCATTGTCTTATGTTCATTGTTTTCAGGTCGTCTTCCACGTCATCAAACCATCTCGTTTGGGGCCTTCCTTTTATTCGCCTTCCTATGGGCTTCCATTGTAACATTTTCTTTGTTGTTTTTGCATCGTTTTGTCTCTGCACATGTCCCAGCCATGACAGTCTTTGACTTTTCACAAATCTTACAATGTCATAACCTTCATTTAACTCATTAACCTCGTCGTTTCTCCTGATTTTTTCATGTGCCATCTTCCTCTTGTACCAGGCCATATACTTTCCTCAGTATTTTTCTCTCGAATGTCCTGAGTTGGGCTTCATCTTTTTTCGTCATTACTCAAGTTTCACATCCATTTTTCCGGAAGTACTGATTTAGTAATTGAAGATCAATAAAGTCTGCATCCATTTACTTGCTGAGGTAGCCCGATTTATCCAGTCTTCTGGTACACAGATATGACGTTGGTTCTTCTTCTTTTTAATTTCTATGATTCCAAAATCTTGATCACATTGATTGTAAGAATGTCTAGCGACTAACAAGTGGTGATTAACAGTTTCAATTTGAGTATTCTTAACAATATAAAGCCAAAAATTTGACAATTAGGTGACTTTTATTTTGCCCTCCATAGTTGTCACTGAACGCAGACAAGTGTTATACAGTCGGTCTATCTCCTGGCAGGCCCTACCTGCCTGTCCTTCGTGCCACATGTACATGTGGGCGGTTTCACTTGTTAGGTTGTGAATATTCAAATTGTACGTCCAGGGTTGGCGCAAATAATAGGCCTTTGAATTTGTCAAATAAGGTGTCGGCATCATCTTTTGCAAATCAAAGCATATGACAGCTTGACTGTCATTCTTTAATAATTTGCACTTTCTTTTGCTTTTTAGCTTCTTTAGCTGCCTTTGCCTTCCTTAAATGAAGTTCTTTTTCAACTTCAGCTATTTGCTTTTCACCAGGCGTGCCGTGGCTAATTTTCATTTGTAACTTGTCACCAGTGACACAGATGTCGTTGTGAAGTCTGTGGAATCTTAGATTGAATTTTGTTTTGAATATAAATCTGTAAAGGCTTTTTTTTTCCAGTTCCACATTTTTTTCTTCTCTACAAAATTTTTCGTACAGTTTTTACATAATTGACACATTCAACCCTGGCTTTAGTTATCTTTGAGTTACTCACTCTATGACCAGCCAAGTTATAGTAGTTACATGTCTTTCTTCCTCATGACAGGTTGCAATTCTAATGCACCATTTAAAAACGATGTCTGAAGCTCCCACTTACCTAGCTCCCACTATTTATAAAATATTGATTCCCTCTGTTCGTAAGGAATTTTTTCGTTGCAATGAAACCTACACCGTTGATTATATTCAAGTAACTTTTTTGACCCGTGTCTTAGCCTTTTTTGCTTGTTGTTCTTGTAAAATAACTTATATTGTAACCATTTACAAAAAAATATGATCAAAATTGTTCTTAATAATACTTATGTCAACTACAACTAAACTGAGATGGTTTGTGGACTCGTGGTAAAGGGATCTAAGTGCTTTTGGGCCCCTAGCGTTCCAAGTTTGAACTTATTAATACTGAGTGGTTAAGGGGTACCACGCTAGATGTCAGCACCTATCAAAACAATCACTTGGATCTATTCACCACCAAATAGATTAGTATTTTCAAAACTCATTTATGCACCTAACTCATTATTTTCAAAAATATTACTTAGACCCCTTGTCCTCTAAGGTCCTTATATGTTTTTTAAACTTTCAATTTTAAAAATTTTGTACTTTGTATAGTATTTGTTTGCAAATAAATAAATTCTTCTTCTTCTTCTTAAAGTGCCCTCTCCTCAATGGAGGTTGGCTACTACAATTTTAAACTCTTCTCTATCTTCAGCTGTTCTTATTAGCTGTTGAAAATTTAGCCCTGTCCATTGTCGGATGTTTCTGAGCCACGATAGTCTTTTCCTTCCTAGGCTTCTCTTTCCCTCGATTTTTCCGTTTACTATAAGTTGGGCATATTGGTACTTATTATTTCTCAGTATGTGGCCTAGGTATGATGTTTTTCTAACTTTTACTGTGTTAAAAAGTACTCTTTCCTTGCCTATTCTATGCAGCACTTCTTCATTTGAGGTATATGATGTCCATGCAATTTTGAGTATTCTCCGGTAGATCCACATTTCAAAGTCCTCCAATTTATTTACGGTTGATGTTTTAAGGGTCGACGTTTCAACTGCATATAGAAGAGTCGACCAGACGTAGCATTTTAATAAACACAGTCGAATTTCGAGTTTTATTCGAGAATCACAAAGCAGTTTTTTTATTTTTTCAAAAGATTTTCTGGCCTGTTCTATTCTCGATCTTATTTCTTGATCAGGATTTACGCTGCTATCGATCCAACATCCCAGGTACTTAAATCTATTGACCTGTTCTAAGATGTGCCCATTTATTGTGCAAGGTTGAGGTACGTTTTGGTTTTTTCGGATTGATATCACTTTGGTTTTTTTAATGCTTATTTTCATACCACATTGCTCACAGGTCGAGTTGGTCTTGTCGA